TAGTATTGGACTATGGAAAAATAAAATAATTTGATTAAATGTAGAATTTTATTTTTTTCTTACCATTAAGTCTCCTCAATTTGAAGAAGTCAGGAGTGTTTCACTGAACCAATCACTATTGTACATTTCTGCACAGAAACACAGTGCAAGAGTAATTTTCATTCATTAGGACCATTGAGACCTGCCTGCTGTTCTAATGGAGGTCTGCAAAATGACCAGGGTGGAGGGTAACTGGTTGTACCACAGCACAGACATGTATTATATCTATATATTAGTCAGTCATTCTGGGCAGAAAGTGACTGTGCCAGTCTGAAAGCATGTCACCTTGCCAACTGGCTTTACATCTGTTAAGTTCATTTTAGTTCACCGTGATCCTGTTCATTACTATTCAATTTGAATTAAAGGCAAACAAAGTTGTTTTAATATAAGGACCGTGAAGGAATGGTTACTTAACATATCTGGAGTTGAGTAGGAGGAGGTCTACTTATAGGGTGCGTTTTTATCTGATTCTCCTAACCCAGTACGGGTACAGAAACAATCACACTGAATCCTTCATACAATTATTTCTCCTCTATTAAAAACTAGAAAGCTTTAAGAGCAACGCTGGACAAATCACTGCAAACCAGGTGCTCAAAGGCCTCCATTATAAAGGACAATGTCTATTGTCATTCAGATATCTTGGGTTATATTTTTCCTCAAAACAGCAGACTTACATAAAACATGCTGGAGGATGTAGCAGTGGGGAAATGATGACGCAACTCTTGGAGATATACAAGTATGGCTACTGTGAGAAACAAACTTTTCTTTGTCCAAAAAGGTTGTGAATCTGCCCCCCTGAAGTACTGTATGTGTAAAGCAATTGTTCAACTTTCACAATGTTTTATGGTCTACTGCTTTGTTGTATAATGTTGAAAAATATGATTCCATCAGTTAACCTGTGAGCCTTGGAAAAAAACATTGAATTTGATGTTATTCAAACATTTGGGTAAGTCAGACTTCTGTAGTTTCATTTATTTATGGTTTATACATCTCCCATGACATGCAAATAATTCCACAAGCTGTTCTGAATTACACGGTACAATCTAAAAACTAGTTTTGGGTTTATTTACAGTAGGAGTATGCTAATACAAACAAACACAAACAAATCTCATGCACTTATAATACAATGTATAAAATAATCAGAAGCTCTGCTGATTAAGCTGCGGGCTCCCCCACTCCTATTCATTTAACCAGTAAGTGGGCCTCACTAGCCCCTCTCTTATCTCTGAATAAAGTGATTCAGTGCGGCTGGCTGAGCAGTCAAAGCAGAGAGCCAGCGAAGCACCTGGCCTTACACCGCTATCTGATTAGAGGAGGTTGCAGGCCAGGCTGAACCAGACCAGGCCAGGCAGTGGCAGATCTAGAGCAAAATGAACTAAAACAGGCTAATTCTATTGCACCATGGCCTCCCTTAGAGGCTTAGCAGCAGGTTCAAATGAAAGCAATTCTATAACACAGAGCAACATTATCAACAAGCAGTGAGGAGGGCAATGGAGAAACTATAGCTTCACTGGTTCAGAAGAGCTGAGTGGTGTTCTCTGAAGCATGTATTTCATGATTAAGCTTTTATTATCTGCGGTGTCCCTGAGCTCACAAATTGGCGTATGAAAAAATAGACCTGACATTTTTCCTCAGCTTAAAATGGCATGAATGTTGAGAACTTGAGAGTGACATAGCTTAGTGAAGGCATTAGGGTTCTGCACACACAAAAATACAAATTATTAAAGGTTTTGGAATATGTTTTATTTTCATTTTCTATATGAAAATATGATTTGCAGAATATCGAAACACAATGGATCATATTTAATATCCTTCTTTCCTATGCAAGATACTGTATGATACTGTCAGACTGCAGTATCTAAATGCAGACTACACTATGGCTTACACTTTTAGATAAGGCATGACACATTTTGATCTTTACAATTACGTTAAAGTAATGTTCGTCAAGGTTGATATATTTTAATGTCAACATGCTTGAGAATTTCAATTGAAGGGAGATGAACACAATCAATACTTTACTTGAATGTAACCCAATTAGCAGTTCCTACCACAAACATATTTGATTTAATACGAAAATCCAAGGAGAGGATACACTTTTGCAGCTTCAAGGCCTGCGAGTCAGGAAAAGTAGATATTCGTTTTACTGTAGAGTTCCACTGGAAAGCACCAGGCTACGTCATGATTTGGTGATTGGCCCATCATTGTCATTATTAATTTAAAGTTAAGATATCTATAAGGGGAAACAAATCTCTACAGAGGCACCTGAAAACAGTGTAGAGAGAAAGGGGTTGTTATTAATGTTTTTCCTATGGGGCTGCTTCATGACAGTGTCAGTTCCATTAGCCCATTTGTGTTCAGTTTGGGAAACATTGTTGACCATTTGAGGGCAAAGTTTACACACAGTGCATTGTAAGTGCAATACGGGAGAGTCTAGGTTTGAGTAATGCAGGAGTAGTCCCAGCATGCATGTCCTAGGTGTTACTTAAGCTGTAACCCCAACCTAAATGATTTATACAACCACATCATATTTTTTTAATGATTTAATGTATTTGTTGTTTCTTTGGAGTTGTTTCTTTTTGTTGTTCCGTTGTATGAAGATTAACACTTGCACAATGCAGCTACATTTTCACAATATATTTATGTATGACTATATTTGTATTAAATATTAACCAACCAATCAAGGACCAGCTAGTATCATTGTATATAAACAATGTTCCTGAGGTTCATCAAATCTAACCTGAACTGGTGAGCTCAATAACAAAAAAGGTTACGATAAAATGTATGTTTCATGTACTGCTCAACACAACAGATACTTTACTTACACAAAATGATCCTATATTATAATAAATTATGAATATAGTGATATATAATCGAACAAGAACGCAGGGAAAGTTGTATTGTACTCAAGGGAAACAGCATCTGTTTCACCTTTAAACTGCTGAAGTAAAAAGCTAACACAGGTGTGTGTGTGTGTGTGTGTGTATGTGTGTGTGTGTGTGTGTGTGTTTACAGAGGCCATCTGTCTCTAAAAGGTAGAACATGCATTCAAACGTGACTGTCTGACATTCATTCTCTTATTCCACGCCGTCACATTTATCCATCTTTTCTCATTTCCCACCTGTTCAGCTTCTACCTCTGCTCCCGCTCATGTCTGGCCACACCCTGTTACACAACAGCTGAGTGGCTGTGCATGAACAGTGTTGTTGTACAGTGGGCTATAGGTGGGTGAAGTATTTGTTCTTGTGTTAACAGTTCAGTGGCTTTTCAGGATTCAGGAATTGTCAAATGCAATAACTGCACAGTGAACTTTTGGAGAAAAGAACACCAGGAATGTACAAATCCATAATTTAACTAATCATTTGGCTTAGTAGCCTACGAAAAAGCAGGTATCATGTAGCTTTCAAACACTGTCACTGATGAATTACCACTGTTACATCTGAGCAGCTGGACTTTTACATACTGCGGCAATCATCTTTTGAGAAAAAATAGGGATTTCTCATTAGAGACGTCCTAGATACAACTGCCTTACAGTGATTAATAGTTGTATAGGGAACAGCCAACACCCAGGGCCATAGAGAAAGTGATACAACTGCTGACATCTGATTTGAGTGGATGATGCTCAGCTGCAGCATGAATCACTCTCAATAGATGAGTGAATAAAAAGACACAATAAAAAATGCATTGAAATACAATCCAGTATATATAAAAAAAGATTTAAATCATACACCTCCCTGTGTTTCTGGGCTGAACGTGCACAGACAGGTGTTAAATGGTGTTGATGGATGTCCTCGCAGGGGAAGTCGTTCGTCTTCATGGATCCTTTTCTTTTGAAGGATTGCCGTCAAAACACAGGTTTCTAATGTATGACTTGTTCAGACAGGACCACAGATGTTTCTTTGACAGGGTTTTCTGTCTGTGAGTTTTTGAACTTGCTCTTGTAAATCTGGACAACTCAACCTTTGAAAATATATAACAGGTCTGTCAACAATGCTTGTTTGATTGACTTTAAGATAACATATAAGATTAAACGTGCTATATATCACTGTGCTGACAAGATAGATTTATCAAGGGAGAACATACATTTCATCATGGATTTACAATTACTTAAATGTATCTGTATTCTTACAATAATACCCAGCTGGAGGCCCCATTGTGTGGCTGCTATCATTTGAATGCTCCACAAAGTTTCTCCACAACCAATCTGCATGAAGGCCTGCTTTTAAATCTCCCCTCCTCTTTCCTCTTTGTATTTGCCAGATTTGTGAAGTCAGCTGCTGCCTTTAAATCATGTAGGAAATGTTTATCCCTGCACTGAGCATTAAGGAATAAAGAAACCATGACACAAGTCACACTGTTTGTTTTTCTTAAAATCCACATTCCTCATTATTACATCCTCATTACACCACAATATGTATTAGATAACACTAGTTAGAAAGCTACTTTGCAGATTTAGATTTAAAAATACAAAATAAAAATAGTCTTATAGATTTTGATAGATTTTTTGTTAAATTACATGGCAGAAGTATAAAGTCTAATGTTATTGGAATTAGCCACACCTTTAGCGGTCGCAACAGTAAAATGATTTTAACAATTAATTATAATATTAATCAGACATAAAAAATCCAGTCAACTTTACCAGCTGTGATTGATAATAATGCATCAATAATAATCAAAACATATCATTTGTATTATTCTGAAATGGAGCAGTCTGCATAATAAGTACTGTTATCTTTGCTACTTAAGTATATGTTGATGATAATACTTTGTAACAGAGTATTCCTACACTCTGTTACTTCCACTTTTACCTAAGTAAATCATATCCTTCTCCCACCACTGCCTGAGAAGGACTTTGTTCTGTATCGATAACTTGTAGCAGGATCGATGCTGTAACAAGTGGGGCTGTGAAGCTGTAAAATCTTAGCTTGGCGGTGCCCCTGAAGGCGTCATTCCCCGGGATGTTCAGTACCCTCCCTGTCCCTGTGCTGCTGCCCGCTGCCCGGGCTGCTGCTCGGCTGCTGGACGCGGGATGACGCCACCTCTCGCTCCGCCATCTCTCGCTCCGCCCCGCCAGCGAGAACTCGCTCTTTGCGTTCATTTCATTCCTCTTCTCATTCCGAGCATTCTTCGCATCTCTGTCAGTGCGCGATTCACCTACACCTTCCTGGCTGGCCCAGAAACACTAGAATAACTTGACATAGTATTAAAAAAATACCCCGTAACATCCCATTTACTCAAAAAGAAGGGACAATTATATGAGATATCAATAACGAGGTAAGTTTCAATGGTAGTTGCAGGTATCCAAACTGGTTGTAGACTTCTGTGCGTGGGGTTTTTAGTTGACGTCTTTGTAAATATTGGACAATTTATTTGAAAATGTCGGCTTATTCAGGTGTTTACTATTTATCCCATGGCGTGGAGGCTGTCTTATTCCATCGCTGAGAAACATGGCCAATTCTGGTCGATGTTTGCAACAGGGTGCTGCTCACTTTGAACACTGTTGTAGCCCATGGCTTTGACATAGCAGCGAAAATCTTTGACATTTTTCACATTTTTGTAAAGAAGCCCGATCATACGCCCCTTCTAAAAGCCTCAGAGGCCGTTTTTCCTGTGTCAGATCCCCTGAAAGTCCCAGCGGGATTCGGGATGAACTAAAAAAACATACCGCACGAATAACGCTTTTTTTTGGACAAGATGACGGTTGAAAACGTTGCTGTTTTCCTCTCCGTAGTTACTTGGAGATTTCACCGGAGGATTTTCGGACCACCTCGAAGAGGAAAACCACGGCGGAGAGAGACTTGTTGCTTCAACACGTTTTGACGGTGGTTATTAAAACCGTCATCGAAGTTTTGTGTAAGTAACGTTGCATGTTTCAATGTTTGTTTGTTACTTCTTTTAGCAGTATGTGTGCTCCATGTTGGTGCTGCAACCAAGTGAACCGGAGGGAAAGGGCAGCTTAAAGCCCTTTTTGTTGTTCGGTGGATTAAAGCTTATTTCGGGTTATTCTTTGTATAATTTCTGTTAAAAAACTACCGTTGTAGAAATGGTGGTTAGTTGCTTCTTTTGCGTTATTTTGGTGGTTTGAATTATATTAACTGGCCTGTTTTAAGGTATAATCTTTGGTTATAGTCCAGGAGGAACATTTGCATTCGTTTAAATTGAAGATTATTTGGCCTTTCCTTCATTGTTTTCATTTTCCTTCCTCTACTTTGGGAAATGCCTGCTCAGCTAAAACTGAACTCCCCTCCAACTGTAGGCCAGCTGTGTGTGTGTGTGTGTGTGTGTGTGTGTGTGTGTGTGTGTGTGTGTGTGTGTGTGTTAGACAAAAGTTGTACTCCTTACAATGATTTTATCCTTTTAACTTTTTTTGTGGACTGAGGACATTACACAGGATATGATGTAAAGGAAGACATGAGAATAAGGCCTATTTGTTTCATTAGCAACAGCAAAGTTAGCTTTCAAATTGGGACTACACCCTGTTGCACTAAACACTGAAGGATCTCCTCTATGAGCCAAAGGGCTAGACTCCTTGACACTTTGCTTAATATTTGCTGCTGTAAATGGTCATATTTGGTTTGCTTTAAACAAACAGCCCCGTCTGGCCATCTAGCCACAGTTTACACAGCTCAGATATGCTGCTGTGATTCAATCAGGGTGTCTTTGTACTGTATTAATTTAAATGAGAATTTTAAAATCACCTCATTTATTCTCCTGTGAGCTCTCCAGTTGTGCTTTTTAACTATCCCAGTCGGCTATCTGTTTAGTCAGACAGTGAAAGTAACTTCTTTTGTAATATTATTTATTTTTGTCAGCAGAAGTGACACAACTGAGTAATGGGGTTTTAAAATACCTTCACAAGCTTGAACATACACCCCCACTACTACTAGTAGTTCTAGTACAACTACTACTACTTCTACTACTACTACTACTACTTATACTACTACTACTACTACTACTTCTACTTATACTACTACTACTACTACTTCTACTTCTACTACTACTACTACTACTACTTCTACTACAAACGGTTTTGTCGAAGCACCTACAGCCACCCACCCGTTTTTGTTGTTGTTATGGCAAGTGTACAAGTTTCTCCCTTTAAAAAAAAAGAAAACATGCTTTTTACAGTAACCTACTGTTGAACATTTAATGTAACGCATGAGACAAAAAGATATAGGAGACATTCTATTAAAATGTAATTAACATGAAAGGGCCTTTGTGATTGCCAGAAAACAGTCTGAATGCAGTTAGACGTAAGCCCACACACATGTACAGTAAGTGTAAATCTGCTTGCTCAAAGAAAAAAAAAGAAGGTTGAAATAGATTCTTTGTTTTCTGCTTATGCAATCATTGGACCTGTTGGACGGAATCTGCAAAGCATTTACGCAAGAATAGGATATTGTCTTTGTTTGACGGAATAAGTATTTTCCTTGAAACTAGTTTCCACAACCCCTGCTATATAGGATACACAGGCGATGTGTAACTTTAACACATTGCTTGTTCAGGTTTTCTGTCTTGTTTAGATCTAAGGACAGAGCTACGGAGTGTGTAGTCTATCTGTTGTGAAGTGTGCCCGAATAATGTGCTTTTGTGAAACACAGAGTGGACTGAGTTTCTTCTTGGAGCAGAGTGAGACATTTATTTTCTTCAGTTGTCCATACTGTTGATTGAAGGTTGTCCTCTTTCAAAATAATACATTTTGCCAAACATTTGTCAAATGCCTACGCGCATATTTTAGCTTTTGATAGTCTTGTGAGCCTGGCATTAGCTGCTATGCATTTGTCTCCTTACCAGAATTATTCAAAGCTCTTACCCTGTGTGTGCAATGATTTATCATTAAGTGCATTCTTAACATACGTTATTGACAGAATATGCCAATTTTACTTTTGACAATTAGAGATATACTGAACTGACAATAAAACATTGATACCCTCAGTGACGCTCAAATCACAAAATGACAATAAAGAAAGAATTCAAACTGTTTATTCAGCTGCTAAAATGATCGCCTTTATTTTTACATTTTAGATTGACCACAAATTGTTCCTGACTGTTTAATTATAGCACATTAGGAGATACAGTGTGTTTGTGTGTGTGTGAGAGAGATGTAGACCTGACTGCTGCAGAGAGGCACCTAGCCGTACTCTGTGCAACAGGTGCTTTAGAGCAGAGATGTATTCATAATCTCAGCATGGCATCTCATTTAAAATGAGCATTTCAATTCAACAATTGATAGTTTAAGATGAATTATATTTTAGGCTTACCGCAGTTCTGATGCACTAAGGGTTACGGCTACATTTAAATATATATTTTATAATAAAGCTAGAATTACTAGAAAGCAATTTCAACTTTCACCAGTTATTTTATTTTGTTGGGATTTTTGGTTTATGAATTAAACCTGTCTAGTGGTTTTTAACATGATGTTTTCAAGTCTCAAATTATATTGTAAATGTCAACTGTTAAGAGCTAGTTAGTTCTCAGGTTTCACAGTTTTTCAAAACTACTCCCTAAGTAGTGTATGAACAGGATATTGCTGTTATAAATCAAAGTTTCACCTCACAGAAAATGCAAATACATGTTACACGGCACATTTTCTATTTGGAGTGTAATTCCTCTTGGGAATGTGAACACATTATGAGTCCCACGGTTTAAATTTAAATGATAATAATACATAATATATTTTATGTTATGAAAATTCTAGGCTAGAAAAAGGATGTGTGATCTGTAATTGAATCTGAACACAGTGTCATTTTTAATTGATTGTGCAATTAGACATGATGTGTGGCTGGAGTAGAATCAATCGCATCAAAACATCAGTGTTCTCCACGCTCAAAGCACGCTTTAAAGAGACTCTCGTGCAGGTTTCCAGACTGTGTGTGCCCTGAGGTAAACCCTGGTATAGAAAGGGAATTTTAGATTATGCACTGCTGCTCAGCAGTTTGAGCAGGACCCTCTGAGGCCAGCGGAGAGTGTCACCAAAAAGGAAAAGCTGGCTCAAAGCCACTGACGTCATCTAAGTAAATCTGCTCCAGTACTGCAGCCATAAAATGACTGCCAGCTACCGAATGCACTTTGGCCCTGTCAAACACCTTAGTTAGAGCAACATTTTTTTTTGTTCTCCTCATGCATACTTATAGAAGACTGGTTGTGTTTAAGTCTGCCTCCATTATGCTGAAGTTGTAGCAGACTTTGCCTATTCATTCAAAAGGAACAACTCATGTTTCTAATTTTACATAAAGCACCAAATGATTGTACTGCCCCAACCTTTGAAGGCTTACCACTTTAATATTACAGCCTTACAATTTGTACCATATGGCAAAGCATACTGTCTCAACCACTCATAATTGATGTGTAGTTCCATCCACTAAGAAGTTATTAAGTATCTGAGATATTTACTTTCCTACCCATTCTTATTTGGAATAAAAAGACAAACACATGAGCTGCTTCATGATCACACAAGGAGGAAAATCTATATGAACTCCATGAATCATTAGATGAGTCAGTTTCTGAAACCACTATAAACATTTTAAGTTCTTAACCACAATGAAAGCAGGAAATCTCGGCTTCAACAACTTCCTTTCCCAGTGCTTGCCATAGTAGCGGTAGTGGTGTTCAGCTCTCCGCAAGTAAAAGGAAACCCATGGAACAAAGGCACACAGTCACTTCATTTACTGAAAGTGTGTGTAATTTGTGGCTTGTATTCAAATGTGGGTTATTCAGTCTCTCTGGCACCGTATTCCCAGTCGTTGCTTGTACTAAATTTCCACAAGACCTTTCATCAATGGTCGCTGTATTGTTATCATGGCTGACACAGATCAGGCAGGCTCTCTCTCTGCCCTGAAGGTGCCCTGGATTCAGTGGAGGCACAGATAGACTGAGGGGAAGCTCCTCATTAATATGCAGGCTGTGCCCAGTAAATTAGTTTGGAATCAGAGCCGGGACACAGTAATGGAGAGCTGTGTTGCCCAAACTTTTTTTTTTTCTGTTTCGTCTATTTAATAGAGGGTAAGGGGAATTTTTTTAACAGCTTATTTGTTCAAATGAACATCGCTTTTTTTTTAACAAGCAAGTCGCCGATTTTCTATATCTATAAAAAGAAGTAAAAACAAAGGTCCGTCTCATAGTTCTTGTCTGTGTACATTTTTCTTACTAAAGGCTTAAAGCTTCAGCTCACAAATATACTGTAAACTAAATTCGATTTCTTCTACAGAATGTACTTTTTAAACACTGTTATTAGTATCTTCATGTTTTCTCAACTAGTCTTGGTATCTTCATATTTTTTCGACCAGTTTTGATTCTTGATAGATTATTATTCAAGAAAACGTTAACCTGTTGTTCAGTATTGGCTAAACTGAAGACCACACATAGTGTCTTAGAATAGCCCCTCACTTCATAACCACCTGCTTTGTGTATCAGCCTTGGATATTCATGTGTTTCAGTGCACATCATGCCTTACTATGGCTTATGCTTTTTGGGATAATGTCAACAAATGCTAAGTATTATAAAATGGTACATGGCTAAAAAGATAAAAGGCAAACAGCCCATAATTACATTGAATTTTCACAACAACTTTGTGACTTTTATGGTAAAGTGTGTGTTTTGTCCAGTCCAGAACTATATTTAATTTGGTGTAGCATTAATTATACCTCAAAATATTTGTGTGTGAATAAACCCTTAAACACTCAGTCTTCCCCGAAATAGTCACATTATACATACTGTGTGAAATGTTCGAGTTGCCAATCGAAAAAAACAAAGGATTGGAAAAGATTGCCGCGGGGAAACAGGAAATAATGAATATAAGAGGGTTAAATGATGGCCGGTGAAAAGTAAAGAAGAAAAGGGGAAAGAGATGAAAG